CAGCAGAAAGTTTTGTGATAGATGCTGAGCCCTCCGACAAGGTCAGTCCGTGGCTTGCTTTCCCCGCCATCTTGCCTCTACTTTGCCTCTAGGCTTCTACTACAAATTCCGCTGAGAAAAGCCTCCTGTTACCCACACACTCATAGATCTTAGATGTCAAGGAGAAGATCGCAACTGAGAAAGGATGGCCTGCATCGCAGCAGAAGCTCATATACTCGGGTACGTTGCGTTGAAAGTGGTGGCCACCCAAGTCGTGGCACTCGGCATGCTCGCCGATAGCTAACTTAACCCCACACCACCTACAGGCAAGATTCTACAAGATGACAACACAGTTGAGTCATATAACATCGAGGAGAAGGGCTTCATAGTATGCATGGTGTCCAAGGTATGCTCTTTCAATCGAGACATGTGCGTGATTCTGTGACCTGACAACTCTATGTAGCCAAAGGCTGCTCCCTCGGCTTCTGCAGCCTCCTCATCCCAGACACCGGCTGCTGCACCATCCGCTCCCGCCCCGATCACTCCCTCAGCTCCTACCCGTGCAAGTGCTCCCGCTTCAGAGACTCCTGCTACCCCTTCGCCTGCCGGCGGTGCCAGCTCGGGTGCCACATTCAACGATCCATCTGCACTTTTGATGGGTAACCAGGGCCAGGAAGCTATCACACAGATGTTGGCCATGGGTTTCTCGAGAGGCGATATCGACCGTGCCATGAGAGCTGCGTACTTCAACCCAGACCGTGCCATTGAATATCTGCTAAACGTATGTCAAATGTCACTTCTAACATTTTGTTTTTCCCAAGTAGTACGTGGTTTGTTTGCTAACATTACGGCTACATAGGGTATCCCTGAAGAATCCGAGAGAGAAGCTCCTAGTGCCCCCGCTGCAGCAGGAGGCGCCGCCAGACCCTCCACCACATCCGAAGAGCCGTCCGACGCTCAAGTTCAGGAGTCTCTAAATCTCTTTGAACAAGCCGCCGCGCAAGCCAGCGGAGGCGGAGGTGCTCGTGGTCGTGGTGCTGGTGCCGGTGCCGGTGCCGGGGCAGGCGCAGGAGAAACTGCAGGCAGCCTTGGTAGCCTAGAGTTCTTGCGCAACAACCCTCATTTCCAGCAGCTCCGCCAGCTTGTCCAGCAGCAGCCACAGATGCTCGAACCCATCCTTCAGCAGGTTGGTGCCGGAAATCCTCAGCTCGCTCAATTGATTGGCCAGAACCAGGAGCAGTTCCTGCAGCTGCTCAGTGAGGACGTCGATGACGAAACACAGCTGCCACCGGGTGCTCAGTCCATCAGTGTGACAGAGGAGGAGAGAGACGCGATTGAGAGAGTAAGCATTATACTACCCTTTTTTTCTAGAGCTTGACATATATATACCATGGGTATGTGGCTAACTCTATCCCTCTAGCTCTGCCGTCTAGGCTTCTCTCGTGACTCCGTCATCCAGGCTTACTTTGCCTGCGACAAGAACGAAGAGCTGGCTGCCAACTTTCTATTCGACCAACCCGACGAAAACGAAGAGCAACAGTAGTTGCTCGCCATCTACCTGCTCTGCAGTTTATGTTTCTTAACGTCCCCTCGCATGCTTGTTACGCCCGTCCGTCGACTTCAGTTCAGATAGCCAGTCTCCCCTTTTCCTCATCACCGATGATATCCGAAATCTCTCTTTCTCTCTTTATCCTCTCAGACGATCCCCCGGAAAAAGAGGCTCGGCTACACACATACACATAACCCGCGTGCGCGCACAGCTTCTAATTCTCCAGACGACGTGAAATGAAATGACATGAAATCCATATTCAACCCTTGCACATCTATTAACCTTTCTACCCTTAACTCCTTTACTTTGCTGCTGGGCCCTTCTTACTCTTCATTGAGATAAAACAAGTAGGCAAAATATGTATCCTAACCAAGTAACGTAACCAACCAATAACAACTGTGTTCTTTCACATCTTGTCCTGCACAATCTAAAACATGCATTATGCTCATGAGTTTAAAATTATGTATTTTTCAAATTAAAAGTAAGTATAGTAGTAGTTAATAGGTCTAGTTGAAAAATGCTAACAAGGCCTAGTAACCAGCCAAATAACCAACCCATGCC